ACTTGGAAAGCTGTAAGCCTTTAGGGCATTTTCTTTTGTTGATAACATGTAATACTTTTGGTAATGGAATTCTGATGAATAGAAGGAAGTGGAACTTTTATATATCAATGCATGTCTCTATTGATGGGTTTAATGTTATTATTTTGAGGGCTTTCTTCTTTAATTTTATATACCAAAGGAATAACACTGTTTTGTATACCAAAGAGTTTGATGTAGTTGAATGATGGTTCAAACAAATACAATAGGAGCTGGACCCAAACACCAAGATCAAAGCTGAAATTATGCAAAATTAAATGTCTAAACAAAATAAATAACTACTGATCACTCAATAGATTGACAAATATATACTACCACTGTCCCATTTTTTCTAAAATCAAGTGCAAGAGATTAATGCATAAAATACTTGAAATTATTTATCAAAGTTTTCTTGTAGTGACAGTGGAGTTAGACATGAAATCAAAGTTTGATTATACCCACTTAAATCACCATTGTTGAGCCTCTCACTCTAGACTCTACCTTCTCTCTAGGTTTTGATCTAGTAGGAGTGATTTACTCACCTTTGGCTTTTACAAAAAAGTTGTTGATCGTCGAGGGCTTCATTTTAATCTGAAAATCTCGGGTTTTGGAGCACGTTGGGTTTTGTCATCTTCTCCCTTGGGGCTCCGAATTTGAGTTAGGGATATCCTACTCCTTTTTATGAGCTTTGTCTTTAAATTTTTGCATTTTGATATGTTGGGGGTTGTTTGGTAATTTTGTGAAAGTTTGGGGGCTTTTGTGTAAATTTACAAAAGTTGGGGTTTTAGCTATATAAAACCTAGATGCATGTTTGGCATAGAAAAGTGAAATTAATGTTAAAACATTAATGAAAATGGAACCTAAGGGTTGTAATGTTAATTATGGAAAATGCCCTAATTACATTGGTTAATTAATTCGCATAATTAATTATGAGGAATGAGAAATTGATTTGGAAATGTATGGAATTAAAGGGTGTAGTTGGATTATTTATCACTCACCTAGTTGGAATGTTGATTATATATCCATTGTTGCATTTATTTTCTGTATAGAAATAACTGCTTTGGGCTATCGGTGGAGGATAGTCTTGATTGTTGTTGACAATGCATGATGATTAGGCAAACTGAAACTAATCACTGGAATGTGTCGTTGAGTATGACGGTTGAAAGAATACATTAAATTTATGTATTGTGTGATGATGTTTATAATTGTTGTTTATATGCATTGTGTTGTGTTGGAGGAGATAGGGGATGTACTCCACGGTTTAGGGGAAGATAGGGGATGGACCTCTAAACCGGATGTTGTTGGGAGGAGATAGGGGATGGACTCCATAGATAGAGCTCATATGCTTATCTATTAATGTGTTGACAGAGCTCATATGCTTGTCTTTGGAAGTGTGATAGTGCTCTTATGCATATCTATGGAAGTGATGATATAGCTTGTATGCTTATCTGTTGGTGTGTGATATAGCTAGTATGCTTATCTATTATGAAATGAGAAAGTGCTTAATATGAGTTATTGCCTCATATGAGTTGTTTGGCCAGGTTCTGAGCCATGGTTTTAAATTGAGAATTGAACAGAATTGGAAAATGGATTGTAACATGGACTTGTATGTCATGAAACTGTAAAGTGTGATAAGGAAAAATATCGGTGTTGGCCATCTATCAATTGCTAATCTTTTCGTCATTGTTCATATTTGGTTTAGTGTATGTCTACTGGGTTGTGGCTCACCCTATATGGGAATATCATTTTTAGGAACAGGTAGCATGCCACCTCTAAGGACGTAGCTTGGGAGGCTTGAGGCGGGCGGACTTTTGTTGTTTTATTTCTTTGATGTATTACATGTATATTCAAGCCAAGGGCTTAATGTGTAAATGAGTTAGCACTCTTTTGTTGTAACCAAGTGTTAACTTGGAAAGTTGTAAGCCTTTAGGGCATTTGCTTTTGTTGTTAACATGTAATACGTTTGGTAATGAAACTCTGATGAATAGAAGAAAGTGGAACTTTTATATATATCAAAGCATGTCTATATTGATGGGTTAACTTTATTATTTTGAAGGCGTTACACCTTAAAATGACATGTTAAGAAGATCATCTTTTTTAATGAAATGAAAATAAAGTTGAAATATTCTGATTTTAATGAAAGAAAAGAAACTCGAAAAGAATTTCATTGGTTTTCTGAAATCACATGTGAACAAGACTATTTTCCTTAATAAAATGAAAATAAAGTTGAAACATTCTAATTTTAATGAAAGACAAGAAATTGGAAAAGAATTTGATTGGACCCTTAAAACTAGGGGTGCAACTCAGGCGGGCTTAAACCGAGCAACCAGAGCCCAGCCCGAGTTTTTTTAGGGCTTGGGCAACTATATCTTGTAATCTGGACGGGCCTGGGTAGATTTTTGATGCCCGAATTGTAATTCGGGTCGAGCTTGGGCAGAATCAGTGGCCAACCTGAGCAACCCGAACCCGAATTGAATTTAATATATTATATAAATTATATAATATATATAAATTAAATAAAAGAGTTATTCTTATTTTTTATTTTTTATTTTTTTTTTGGTTAGTCTTTCACTTTTGGATTAGCATCTTGTTTGACTATTTAAACTAGCAACCAGTTATGATTTTTTAAATTCTTCGGCCCCTTTCAAATGGAAATTATTTTAAGTGAGGTTATTAAATAGTAAACAATAACAGGAAAAAGAAAACTGGAAGTACTGTATACCAGATTCCTAAACAAGAAGTGATAAAAATGTGTTGATAATTGGTCTACCTACAGGTTTTTGGACTTGTGAATTTCGGGCAATTTGGGCTAACCCGAGTTCAAAATACAAAGCTTGGTCCGGGCTTGGGCAGCAATGTTCGGGTTCATGGTCGGGCTTGGGTGGGCTTGGGCACTGCCAAATACAATATGGGCTGGGCCTGGGCAAACCCCCAACCCGACCGAACCCGCCCGAGTTGCATCCCTACTTAAAACCACACAACCATCTTCCTTCAAAAAAAAAATCAAAGTAAAGTTGAAACATTTTAATTTAATCAAAGAAAAGAAACTGGAAAAGAATTTCATTGGTCTCTTTTTAAAATAAATCGAAACGATATATAGACAACATTTCTAACCACAGGCAATTAATTGGTCACTTTTTTTAATTATCTCCATGGAAAGAGTCCGCACGGAAGCAATGAGAAAGAATCTTTAATTTTTTTTATATAGATAGCTTTTGATTTTTTTTAGTTTTTTTTACTAAAAATCTTATTTTCCAAACATATCCTTCAATTTTGTTCGGATTATAGATTTAAGTAAAAATTAAAAAAAGCAAAAGTATTTTAAATAATAAAGCACCCAACACTCGCATACAATTAATTGTGTTTAGGAAAGATAAGAGGATAAGGGTCCACTACAGGAAATTAGGGATTTAACGGCGTTTATTTAACGGCATTTAAGTAAACGTCACTTTTTCTAACAATTAACAGTGTTTTTTAAACGTCACATTTGTTATAAATTAAAACGGTACCGTTTTGTGAGTGGAAGACGTTTGAAAAGCGCCTTCAAATCCGGTCTCTCTCACACCCACTTCTGTCTCTCCAAACCTTTATTTTGAAAACCCTATCTTGAGCACCGCCATCTAGACGATCGAATCCTGTCTCACTCACTCTCTTGCTCTCTCTTTCTCGCAGATAATCGAATCTGTTTCTCCAAATCTCTCTCTCAGAGGATCGATTCTTCTTCAGTTCGGTGATTCATCTCGGGATTGCGATTTCAAAGTTCGATTATGAGCACAACTCCGTGATTTATCTCCATGGATTTGAAACTCTTCGTCTTCTTCAATCAGAGGTTAGTTGTTTTGTTTGTGATTTATCTTTGTTTTGGATCAATGTTTTGCTTGGTGAATACTTTTGTTTAGGGCTCTATAGAGGTCTCAAGCCTTTAGGGCTTTCAATTCTTCTTTACTCTTTTATTCAGTGATTCTTCTTCGATTCTTCTACAGGTCGGTGATTCATCTCAGGATTGTGATTTCGAAGTTCGATTTTGAGCATAGCTCCGTGATTTATCTCCGTGGATTTGGGACTCTTTGTCTTCTTCGATCAGAGGTTAGTTTTTCTGTTTATGATTTATCTCTGTTTTGGATCAGTGTTTTGAAAATTTGGTCTCAGTGATTTCATCTTTGTTTCAGTAATTATTTTTCACTGATGTGTTGCTCTGCACTATGAGATCTAATTGTTGGAGTAATGAGCATGTCTTACATTTGGTGGATGGTGTTCCTGCCTTATTGATGTTAATTGTCCTTTTTTATTTGGTTGTTGTGAAGATGTCTCTGTTTTGGATCAGTGTTTTGAAAATTTGGTCTCAGTGATTTCATCTTTGTTTCAGTAATTATTTTTCACTGATGTGTTGCTCTGCACTATGAGATCTAATTGTTGGAGTAATGAACATGTCTTATATTTGGTGGATGGTGTTCCTGCCTTATTGATGCTAATTGTCCTTTTTTTATTTGGTTGTTGTGAAGATGGAATTTTGCTTCTTGAGGTCAACAGGATGCTGAGGGTAGGGGGACACTTTGTTTGGGCAGCACAATCTGTTTATGAGCATGAAGATAACTCGCAAGAACAATGGAAAGGTAAGCATCATGTCCAAACTAACTTGTAAAAAAACTAGAACCTAGAAAAGGAATCATGTCAAAATTACTAAAGTACATTGGTCAGGAACTATTGAATTCTACCCTGCTCACGGTGGGTGGAACTTCTTCTTAAATACAGTTGAAAGGTTATTAGTTATTTTTATTATTATTGTAAATATTGTGTAATTCTGAAGTTATATAGACGTGTGTGTATCTGTGTTTTACTCATTTTTGTGATATTTTCATTTTTCCAGTTTCTAGCACGATGGTATGACATTGCATCTTCTTCTCTTTTCTTGTATCATATCTCTTCATTGCTGATTCCTGACCTTAATTGTGCATAGAAATGGAAAACCTTTCTTGACGTATTTGTTGGGAACTTATAAAGAGGGCAGGGTACAATGCTATATGGAGGAAGCCTCTGAACAACAACTGTTATGTTAATCGGCATACTCAATTACAACCTCCTATATGTGAAGCTAATGACGATCCAAACAATGTTTGGTATGTCCAACTTTACCCCCATTGAGTTTCAACGTTACATGGAAACTGCCTTTATAATTTGTTTGAGCATTTTTATATATAGACCAACATTTTTGTATCAAGCAGCCATATCAAATTTATATCGATCACATGAATGATCAAATGTACTCATCAGTCTTTGATCCCGAGATGTTGACACATAAAGAAAAGAGATTGATTTTTCTAAGGGCAATGAGATTTCATTTTGGTTAGGGTAGCAGAAAATTGGGGTTTGGTCATATAGCCAAGTGCCATTACTTTTGAATGTCTTTTGGTGATGTCTCTGACTTGATTTGGACCTGAATATAGCACAGAACTGTTAGAAAGACAAACTTTATTTATTTAATGGCTCTACAAAATCAGTAAACTGGCTATTTGAGAATTTAGCATGATAAATTACGTTTGGAACCTGTTTAATCCCAGAGTTTGCAAGGAACTATATTCTTCAAAAACTGTATTTCTAGTTCAGATAGAATTAATTTGCAAGGAGCAATGTGGTTGAGTTCTATGCCTTCATAGATTTAAGGACTTCTTTGGAGTATGTCGATTGATTGAAACAAACTAAAACTGATAGTGTATTACTGAAATTGTCACTTGTTACAAGCTTTCAAACAAGAACAAAGAACAAGAATACAAAGATAACCGATTGACTAAAAGCTAATTGATACTCCTAGTTAAAAGAAGCTACTCCTAGATAATTGCTACTCCTAGTTATCACAGGTTTGTGAATGGGTTTGAAGATCCTTTACTTTGAATTCCCACTTTTGTTCCTTTGCACTAGCCACAACTGCTGCATGCACATGTCCCTCCTTAATTCCTTGATACACCAAGCATGCTCTCTCCACCATTTGGAAAAGATCCTTCACTTGCTGTAACTGCTCTCCACTTCTGTGACCACATGCTTCTGGCTGCACTCTTGAAACACAACTCTACTTCAAAGGACTTGTCCACCTTGCACGTTCCTTACTTCAGATCACCTATTAATTCATCTGAGCCACGTCAGCACCTCTGTCGACAGGCCAAATTCAATATTTTAGTACCAACATAAGACCTCTTCTTTTTTATCCATCATACCTTACTAACATTGGGAAGAGAGAGTGTATGTGTTTGTTTAAATAATCTGAATGTTCCCTCTTCAGCTAAAAGCCTAAAACATCTTCATTCATTCACTAATAACAAATGGAAAGAGAGATCAAATATCTATTTAAAGGAACAATCCCATATGAATTATTTACTTCCCTGTTGCTGGTATTCTTAGAATTGCTCCAAGCTTGTAACAGATTATTCAAACCCTACGCCCAAGTTGTTACACCATATCCTCAAGTCGATAATTTCTTACCCATGAATTTAGTTTATCTTTTAATTAGTGATGAACAAAATCTTTTCAATTTCGACACAAACGTCTAACTACATTAATGCATTCTTACAGGTATGTCAGTCTAAAGGCATGTATCACTCCGTTACCTGAGAATGGTTATGGGGCTAATGTTACTAGCTTGCCCACACGCCTTCATTATCCACCAGACAGGGTACTTACCATAAAAATGGATGCCTACAATTCCCGAAAGGAAATATTCAGAGCAGAGTCAAAATATTGAAACGATCTTGTAAATGGTTATGTTAATGCCTTCAATTGGAAAGACTTACACCTACGAAACGTGATGGACATGAAGGCTGGATATTGAGGGTGACTTCCTTTTTCTTCTTCTTTTTCATCTCTTTATATATGTTTACCCCTCTCTAAATCTGGAAGAGTACTTTTTAATTTTGATTGTTTGAATTCCTATATCATGGGTACTTTGTTCATGGTAGGTTTGCTGCAGCATTACATGATTATGGGATTGATTGTTGGGTTATGAATGTTGTTCCTGTTAGTGGTTTCAATACATTGCCTGTTATTTATGACCGTGGGCTCGTAGGAGTTATGCATGACGGGTATGGGCAATGCACTTTTTCGACTTCTGGTTGAGAACAAATTCACTTTTCCTAATTCCATGTGGTTGAATAGCTCAGACCTCTTAATTATAATTTTTATATCCTTCTTTCAAATTAAATCATCATCATTGTATCAACTCATTATAGATCAATAGTGCTTGTGCCTGAAGTCGACTCGAGGCATCTGAAAATTTTCACTAATTTCAGTCCACCGAGATTCTACAACTTGAGAAGATCTTTTGAATGTTGGTTTTTAAAGCTTATCATGCTCTGCCTTGTGCTATGGAATGTGAAATAGTGGTTCATAACTCTAGATAGTTATTAAATCGTCCAAGAACAGCTTTTTTGTTATCGAACCTATAGCGACCCGGTCTTTTCCCTTTAGATTATTGTATCTGGACTTAGGTTCTGTGGATCCTGTCATTATATATTGGTTGTTGTCGTCCTCTAATCTCTTTGTATTTGAGTTATAGGATGTGTTGGGCAGGTTTGTTACAGGTCGGTTGAGTTTAGATGCCAAAACTAGTTGCTTAGATTTTGACCTGTCTGCTCGAGCGGGGGTTTGACGCTCGAGCGGGGATTCTTTTGTTGCTTGTCCGCTCGAGCGGGGGTTTTGGTGCTCGAGCGGGATTATCACCTACCCAGTATTTCCTGTGCAGTGTTGGACGCTCGAGCGTGGGATTGGACGCTCGAGCGTAAATGTGTGTGTGCCGATCGAGCGGGGAGTTGGTCGCTCGAGCGGGGACCTGGTTCTGCAAAAGTACTGGGAGTGCGTATTCGATGCTCGAGCGGGAGTTTGGACGCTCGAGCGGGGAGTCGACTACATCAGTCCAAGATTTCACTTTTTGGATCACTTTTTGACCTACTTTTCTTTCTTAACTTTTAAAAACTGCCCCTTGAGAGTCTCTCTCTCTCTCTCTCTCTCACTAAACCTGTCTTCTCTCTAAGAATTGATCTACCTAGGGTGAGTATCTAACCTTAGTCCTTTATTAAAAGATAGAGTGAGCCAAGGGCTTCCATTTAATCTGAACGTTTGGTGGTTTGGAGCACTTTGGAATTTAGGTCTTCATCTTCGTCTTCTCCATTCGGGTTATTTTCTTCGAGGTAGGGATTTCCTACTCCATCCTATAAGTTTTGTTCTAAGTTTTGGTATTTTGATATGTTGGGAGTACTTTGGTAATTTTGGGAAAAAACCCTAGTTGTATTAATAAATTAATTTGTATAATTAATTTAAGGAAATTGGGGAAATTGGTTAAATGCATGAAATTGAGGAATTCATTGATTAAATGGTGTAGTTGGATAATTAAAATCACTCGCCTATTGAATTGTTGATATATTTATTTCCAGTCTAGAAATAACTGTTTTGGGCTATCGGTGGAGGATAGTCGTGTTTGTTGTAGACATTGAGAAATGACTCCTAAGGAAGAGGGCCCCCTCTGGAGAATGTGTTCTTGAGATAGAAGTAGTAGATGCAGACAACAAGACACGTCTTCGGTTGATAACTAGGAGAAATAAAAGACACCCAACATAAAGGCATAGATTTGATTCTAGGTTGGACAAAAAGGATATCTATTAAAATAAAGGATTTTTGTTTGGGAGGAGATAGGGGGTGTACTCCACGGTTTAGGGGAAGATAGGGGATGGACCTCTAAACCGGATTTTGTTTGGGAGGAGATAGGGGATGGACTCCATTAGCATCACTATTATATGTGCTTATTATATTGAAGTGTCTTTACATGTTATTGATACAGCACTACAATGTGTATCAAACGGGAAGTATGAAGTGTTTTGATATGAGCCTGAGTCTCATTTGTGTTGTTGACATTGGAACTAATGTGATATTGGAAGTAATGTGAATATGATATATATAGTTCACTGCTGTAAGTTTGGCCAGGTTCTGAGCCATATTGATAATAATGGGAATTAAAACGTGTCTTAGACAATATTGTCATGAGACTATAAAATGATGTAATTGATTATCTTGGTTAACCATCTACTGAATGCTATAGCTTTATTCAATGCTTATATCTGGTTTAGTATATTTCTACTGGGCTATGTTTTGATATGAGCCTGGGTCTCATTTGTTTTGTTGATATTGAAAGTAATGTGAATATGATATATAGTTCACTGTTGTAAGTTTGGCCAGGTTCTGAGCCATATTGATAATAATGGGAATTGAAACATGTCATTGACATTAGTGTCATGAGACTATATTAAGTTATAATTGATTATCTTGGTTAACCATCTATTGAATGCTATTGCTTTATCCAATGCTTATATTTGGTTTAGTATATTTCTACTGGGCTGTGGCTCACCCTATATGGGAACATCATTTTCAGGTTCAGGTGATAAGCTACCTCCAAGGACTTAGCTTGGAAGGATTCGATTTTGGATTTTGAAGACTTGTCTTTAGTTGTTTGTTTTTATTTGAGATTACATGTAAACATTCAAGCCAAGGGCTTAACTTGTAAATGAGTTAGTACTCATTCTTTTGTGTCCAAGTGTTAGCTTGGAAAGATGTAAGCCCTTAGGGCATTTATTCTGATGTTACATGTGATGTCTCTCAATAAAAGTACTCTGATGAATAACTCAAATGATTCGTTTCTTTTATTAATGCATGTTAATGTTATGTATATTATGGGTTTAATTTGAGGGTGTGACAGAACCATTTTCTCTTATCACACAAGGCACTGCAATGTGTGAGATTTATCATTAATCCTCTTTTGGCTCTTTTAGTAAGATCTTCAAATCTGTCACAGGTGTGAGCCATTTGATACTTATCCAAGAACATATGACTTGTTGAACACAGCGGGACTGCTCTCTATAGAGGAAAAAAGGTACAATTCTTGGTCTTTCTTGTTTGTATCGTGCTTTATTTATTGCATTATACACCTTATATTTTTGGGAAGAACATTACTTTATGTAACGCTAACTAAAATTGAAGCAGATGATTATGGGATTGATGGCTGGGTTTGATTTTGGGTTCAATTTAATGAATGGTATTGGATGGAATTTACCCCTGTTAGTTAATAAATGGGTTTTTTTAATTAAAAAAAATTATTTATAGATTTATCTTGAAAGAATACCTAGAGGAGTGGTTTCTAATGGAAGAAAGTCGACCAATATATATGTATAGCGATCCCGATTGTCTCTTTACTGTTCTGTTGTATTTCGGACTCGGTTCCGTGGAGTTGGTAGTTGTATCTATCTTGTTGTCGTCATTTAATTCCATTCGTTTGAGTTTTAGGATGTGTTGGGCTTGTTTCAAACAGGTGGGTTGAACCTTGGTATAAAAATCTTGTTGCCAGGTTTTTGGTCGTTCCGCTCGAGCGGGCCTTGTTGCGCTCGAGCGGAGATTGCACGCTCCCAGTTTTTCGTGTCCCTGTAAAACTTCTGCAAGTGTAATTTTTACGCTCGAGCGGTAGCGCTCGAGCGGGTAATGTGGCGCTCGAGTGGGTAGTACTTTTTGGTGTAAGTTCTGGGAGCGGGAAATCTACGCTCGAGCGGACTGGTTTTCGCACTCGAGCGGATGTACTTTATTCTTGTGTCTTGGTGCTCGAGCGGCACTTCTTGCGCTCGAGCGTACCTAGTTTTTTGTTCTTGACGCTCAAGCGTTGTGTTCTCCTCTCGAGCGGGAATGTCGTATATCAATTGGCAGCTGGGCATTTTAAAATCACTTTTTACATTCTCTCTCTCTTTTACTTTCTAAAAAGCTATTTTGAGAGCTTCTCTCTCTAGAAACTCTCTTCTCTCTAAGGTTTGATCTAGTTAGAGTGTCTCTCTATCCTCCGGTCTTTGTAAAAACTGTGTTGATCATTAAGGGCTTCGTTTTGATCCGAGAATCGTGGTGTTTGGAGCATTTTCACTTTCTCTTCCCTTCTCCGTTTGAGCTCTAACTTCAAGGTAGGGATATCCTACTCCTTCTCATGAGTTTTGTTTTTAAATTTTAGCATTTTGATGAGTTGGTGGTTGTTAGATAATTTTGAGAAAGTTTGGGCCTTTGTGTAATTTTACAAAAGTTGGGGTTTTGTTTATATAGACGTATATGCATGTTTGGCATAGAGAAATGAGATCAATATTGGTCTATTGGTAAAAAAAATGAAACCTTAGGGTTGTGATGTTAATTATGGGAAATGCTCTAATTACATTGATGAATTAATTGGTATAATTAATTTGAAGAAAAGAGGAATTAAATTGAGAATGTTGGAATTGGAGGTGTATGGGATTAAAGGGTGTAGTTGGATTCGTTTATCGTTCACCTAGTTTAAATGTTGATTATGTATCCATTTGGTGCATTTATTTTCAGTATAGAAATAACTGCTTTGGGCTATCGGTGGAGAATAGTCTTGATTGTTGTAGACACTACATGATGATTAGGCAAACTAAAACTAATCGATTGAATATGCTATTGAATATAGCAGGTGGAATAATACATAAATTCTATGTATTGATTGATTGTATATAATCTATGTTTATATACATGTGTTGTGTGGGAGCAGATGGGGGATGTACTCCACGGTTTAGGGGAAGAAAAGGGATGGACCTCTAAACCGGATTTTGTGTGACAGTGATACAGCACTACAATGTGTATCAGGCTGCGAATTAGAAGTGTTTTTGTTTCATTAATACAGCACTACAATGTGTATTATTTGAGACTTATGCAAGTGTCTGAATTGATTTGATATAGCACTAACATGTATATCGTTATCAATTGTAAAGTATAGAAGTGAATCTATGTAATGTTGATACAGCATTAAAATGTGTATCCTTCATGAAATTTGAAAGTGTCTTAAAGATGAGTCTAAATCTCATTAAGTTATTTGGCTAGGTGTTGAGCCTTGTTTTCAAACTCAAAGTTGGAAAAGACATGGAAATGAAATGTAACATGGACTTAACATCATGAAATCAAAATGTGATATAAGTGGATGTATCTGTGTTGACCATCTATCAACTGCTAATCTTTTTGTCATTATTCATGGCTGGTTTAGTGTATTTCTGCTGGGCTGTGGCTCACCCTTTATGGGACATCATTTTCAAGTACTGGTAGCATGCTACCTCCAAGGACGTAGCTTGGGAGGCTAGAGGCAGACAGATCGTTCTATTTACTTTCTTTTGATGTATTACATGTAAATTCAAGCCAAGGGCTTAATATGTATTGAGTTAGCACTCTGTTTTTGTAACCAAGTGTTAACTTGGAAAGCTGTAAGCCCGTAGGGCATTTGCTTTTGTTGTTAACATGTAATACTTTTGTAAGGATCTACTCTGATGAATAGAAGAATTTTTATCTTTTATACCAATGCATGTCTAAGTTGATGGGTTTTAGTGTTATTTTTTTGAGGGCATTACAACTTGGTATCATAGCGTACCGGGTTCGAATACTTAAGGTACGTGGGAAGTGATTAGGATCACAATGGGTTTGTCTCGCCTGATAGAGACTTAGATGTAGTGTCATATGCTATGTGCTTAATTGATAACATGCTTATGTGACTATGTGGGTATGGGATTTAGTTTCTAGGATGTTGATTGGATCCATGGATTTCTGTGAGTCTTGTTGGAAAAGCACTTGATCAATGCTGTTTCTAACCGGAACTCTAGTAACGCCTCGGGACTATCATTATTCGGAAAAGAAATTCGTAAGTGCTTATGTGTTTATGTGCTTACGTGGAGTGAATTACAGTTGTCCATGTATTAGGACGCGGGTGTTTAGTTTTGGCACATTTATATATGTGCTAACGTTCTTCGTTACCTTTATTAGGATGTCAGGACGAGGACGTGGTAGGCGTGGCAGACGTGGTAGGCAGGAGATGCCTCTACCGGATGATGTTTCGGCACAGCAAGTGGGGGTTGGCCAGGCCAATGTGGCCGAGCCAGCAGGTCAGGAGGCTATGGGCGCTTTAGCCCGAGGGATAGCCGATGCTTTGAGGGAGTCTGTGGGTATCTTTCGAGCTGAGAATCCAGTTCAGGCTCCAGTTTAGGCCCAAATTGTTGAGGTAGGGCCTTCCTTCTTGAAAAGAGAGTTCTTCCGGTCTAACCCGGACGAGTTTATTGGGGATCCGAATGAGCCACTGAAGGCTGACGAGTGGTTAGAACAGATGAGTAAGACGTTCGAGATGCTTGGCATCGAGGACGGAGCACTAAAAGTGACCCTGGCATCCTTCCAACTGAAGGGAGATGCGGGTCAATGGTGGAAGTACGAGAAGGCTCGTGTTGGTGGTACTTGGGAGGCGTTTATAAATGCTTTTCAGGAGAGGTTTTTATCAGCAGCAGCTAGGGAGAAGCTGAGGGATCAGTTTAGCCGGCTTAATCAGCAGGGCTTGTCGAGTATGAGGCTGCTTTCACTAGCTTGTCCAGGTTCGCACCTGAACTTGTGGCGTCTGAGGAACGCCGCTGTATTGAGTTCGAGAAGAGGTTGAGGCGCGGCCTCAAGATGAGGGTTGGAGGTTCGATGATCTGAGATTATGGGCGCTTGGTTGATGCTGCAGCCCATATGGAGATCATGATGCAAGAAGAGGAGGGGCAGAGAGGCTCCAAGAGGAGCCAACATGGTCAGGGTGATGGCAGGAGACAGAGGGGCGCTAACCCTCAGCAGTCTCAGGGTGGTGTTACTAGATCGACCTTTCTGGTGCCGAGTGCAGGCTCGAAGAGAGGTAATCAGGGGGAGTTCACCTGTTACAAATGTGGTCAGTTGGGCCACAAGGCTTCAGTTTGCCCACAGAGGGGAGGAGGTCAGAGAGCTGTTTCTTCTTCAGCTAGACCGCAGAGCCAGAGTCAGGGTAGGGGTCAGTCCTTGTCTTGTTATCAGTGTGGTCAGCCTGGGCACCTGAAGAGGTTTTGCCCACAGTTGAGTGCCACTTCGGGCGCGTCTGGTTCTAAGCAGACGCAGGGTTTTCAGCCAGCTCAGTCTGTACAAGCCTCGAGGGCTAATCAGGGGGCTTCATCGTCCCAGTCCGTGCAGCAGTCGTATGCTCTGAGGGGTGAGCAGTTGGATCAGGGGCCTACTGGGCGCGTGTATGCTGTTACCGCGTAGGATCTTGTGCCTGCTCCATCAGTAGTGAGAGGTACCTTTCTATTTTGCAACTCGGTTGCTAGTGTATTGATTGATACGGGTGCATCTCATTCTTTTATATCTGCTACATTTGCATCTGTTTTGGAATTGGAGTTGGCACAGTTAGCATCTCCTATATGTGTAGTATCGCCTGTTGGTGGTGAGTTGATCTTGAAACAGGGTGTCAGAGGTTGTGATATAGAAGTCGTCGACCATAGGCTTCCTTTTCCTTTTGTTGTCATGCCCGTGAAGGGTTTTAATGTTATTTTGGGTATGGACTGGCTATCGTCATACCGGGCTGCTATTGATTGCTACCGCCAGAGGGTCACTGTTTGTACCTTGAGCGGGGAGTGTTTCCATTTCTTGGGGGATCGGGTTGGTAGTGTATTGCCACTGTCGTATGATCCGCGAAGGCGGAGTGAGCTTAGTGGTCTACTTGCTAGCTTTATGAGTGGTGAGTGTGATAAGACCCAGATTGTATTGCCGAGGGTGGTTTGTGAGTATTCGGATGTCTTTCCCGAGGATCTCGTTAGTTTGCCACCTCACCGAGAGATAGAGTTCTCTATCGATTTAGTGCCCGGTACAGCGCCGATTTCTATGGCACCTTATCATTTTGTCCCAGCCGAGTTGAGCGAGTTGAAGATTCAGCTCCAGGAATTGTTAGATAAGGGTTTTGTTCGCCCTAGTGCTTCGCCGTGGGGAGCACCGACCCTCTTTGCTTAAAAAAAAGATGGTGC